CATGTGGGGAAATGCATGAGCTGCTGATGAACAACTGTATAGAATAAATTATGTCTTGAAGAAAAAAAATTAAGCTTCCAATCACGGGTGCATGGCATGCATCAGTATCAGGAGAGTTATCCGGATTCTGTATGTAAACTTCTTGAAACAGAATTTGAAATGTGGTATGAGAGAATGCAGAATACAACTGCAGTGGTATGTGTTGATGGGGTGAAACTTTGGATTTTAGGGCAACATCTTAAACTAGTTGGTACTGTCCAGGTGTTTGAAAGAAAACTTTAGTTCCTGCAGTCTTTCAGTTCGTTTGAGCATCTGTCAAAACACAGCACCGTTTCCGAAGCTGGAAAACTAGACATGTAATATATTAAGAGCAGTTGCACTAGGTGCCCTTTTATGGAGGCTGGGACAGGGGAAAACCTTCTAATGACTCATTATAATTTCACTTCTTAAAACAGTTGGCAGAATGTCACTTCTGTATATTTAAAGCTTCTAAATGGATTTCTTCCCTAAACCCTGATAGCTCTTTGGGTTTGTTTGGTTTTGGGTTTTATTATTATTATTTATAAATTATTATTTACAAAAAGGCTGTCTCCCTGCTGTGCCTTTTGATTCTACAGGACTGAAGTAGCCTGCTTCCCTCCTTAAAGTTCAAATTCTCTTAATGCTGCTGTCACTACCTCTACAGCCTGCTCACACTGTTTTGGGGGGGCAGGAGACTTTTAAGGTATCTTTACCACATAAGGAAAACATCTGAGAATGTGCTTCTGTGTAACCTGATGGCTTTGGCTTCTTGTTTCCCTCTGATGAGACCAATGCTACTGGGCCGGTTGCTTTGTCCTCTTCAAGTTGCAATCCCCCTGACTACTGCTTTGATGAGAGTAGACCATTAAGGTGGGATTTACCAGAACTATCCCTGTTCTCCTTCCTTCACCATCAAGTCAGGCACCAAAACCAAGAAAGAAATAAATTGGGTAAAACAGTCAAGCTAATTTGGCAATGATACTTCTGCATAATCCTTTATTGTGCTTTCATGCCCTAAACTGTAGATGGGTTAGGTTTGTAATGACTCCAATTTTGAAAATAATAATAGCATGAATAACTTTAATTTTGCTTCTAATGACTCTTGTGTGCCTTTAATTCTTTAGTATATAATTCATTTGGTACAAAGTTTTAGTCTAGCACACAAGATGCAGAAAGCAAAGAAGTAATACAATGATTTTTCATAAAGAACAATTAATACTTTTTAAATGCTTTGCAGTATGAATAGTGCAAACCCACTACAAAATAAATAAACCAGATAAACTCCTTTAGACTTTCAGGGCTAGTTCTGTGTAGACAAGGAGCTGATTAACTTCAAACTAAACTGTTTGGGGGGGATTTTACAAATCTTCTCTTCTTCTTCCTCTCTATCATGTTCCTCTATCAGTTCTTTGAGTATACTGGTTCTAATAAAGCTGTTCTGCAGATTTTAAGCTTGACAATTTTGACTAAATGGCCACTTTATTTCCAGACACTTCATATTTTTTGGCTGAAAATGGCAGTCTCTGAAACGTGCATGTGACTTTTAGGTTATAGGGACTGGCTACCATACTATACTAACCTTAAATTTCTAGTGATGCAGCTGAAATACAAGTACCAGCCTGTTGGGCTGCAGTCTCTTGGGGAGCAAATTTAATTTGCAGGACTGTTGCCTATCGAATACCTCGTGGCTGTATACTTCTCTGTGCCATGCAGACACATGCAGAAAACCACTGACAGAGTTGGCCTAACCTTGCATTTGGGAAATATGAAGAGTTGAGGGGTTTTCTTTTCTCTTGTGCCATAAGGGATACTCAGAAATAGCTGTTTAAAATGCTAGTTCTTCAGCTGTTTAAAAATCACACATTCTAGCATGTTAGTATGGTGATGGGGGGTTGTGAAGTTCAGTTGCAATACTGAGCCCAAAAATAGAGCCTCAAGAGCTGAAGAAGGTTCAGCAGATGCAACATGTTCAAGTCTTTTCTGAGCTCTTTGTCACAGTACTTGGAACATTCCATTTGCTAGCTAGTCATCCTGTATTTACTGCATGTAATACATAGGGCTAGAGTCGTGAACAAAAGCTGTTGAGATCCTTGTGTGGGAACACCAGGACTGAGACGAGGGAGAAAGCCATGCCTCTGACTGGCTGACTTCAGTGGAGCTCCCCAAATTGTGCCGTAGCAATAAACCACACCACCCTTCAACTGAAAACGAGTCTGGCTCCTTCAGTGGTTTGGACTTTTAAGTTGCTTTCCCATTCCTCTACTTCCTTCTCCCTCACTTTCTGAGAATAAAAGCAAAAAAAAACCCCACAACTGCATTTATGAACATGGGAAAAGGAGAATATTAATTCCTGAGATCAGTGGAGCCCTGTTGCCAATTCTGAGTGTGAGGGACTTGGGTTTTAGCATTGTACTGTAACACAGCACAAAGCTAGTGCCAAAGAGCCACCGGGGCGTCACTTTATGAAAACAGTGGTGAGCTCCGGCCTGTATCCACCTTATTCCAGCAGTTCGCATTTATTCAACTGCTTCAAGGAGCTCCAGTCACATTTTTTTGTAAATTATTTCAACATCAGTGGCAAGGAGTGGTAACTGTCATACAGCTATACTGTGTACAGTGTATGTAATCTTCCCCTAATGAGGTGGCTTTCTCAACTTAATTGGTATTACTTTTTGGTCACTATGGTGGGTGTCTTTGGAGATGTAATGAGGGAGAAAACTAGGTCACTCATCACTAATGTGCTTCTATGGATCCCTCCCACTCTCTGCCTGCCTGACTGGAGATGTTACCGTAGTTCAGAATCTAACTCCAGGGCTGCCTCTCTGCCATCATGTCCTGCCTTTAGCTCTGGTCCTGCCATTCCAGCAGAGGCTGTGGAGGGGTAGGAAAGACTTCTCTTTTTGGAAAACTCTGTCAGGTGTAGCACATAAACAGAAGGAAATGAACAGATGTACATCTGGAATGAGATTTCCATTACATTACAGCCAGCTAATTACAGTTATTTGCATTAAACAGGCTTGTTATTTATCATAACTGTTGTTTTGATTTGCATTCCCTCTTTAAAGGAGAGATACTGTACTTGAAAGACAGTGCTGATGAAAAGGGTGAAGAACACCTGCTGTTTGTGTGAATAGCAGCATTTGTATGTTTTAACATAATGCTTGAAGTATTTTTAGCTATCAGGTCCTATGCTGTTGTCCAGTTTTCATTCCTTCTCTGTCACATGATCTTACAGTTCCTGTAGCTTTGCTGTTGTTTTGCTTTTCCTGCACCTCCTTATAAATAAAGTGGCCTAAATAAGTTAGGCTTTAAATGGCAAGCTAGCCTTTATAATTCATGCATCATTGACATGTATTTCCTGGAGAAGGCCTGAACAGGAAAAACTCGTAAAGACAGCAGTAGCTAGGAAAAGGTTGCTGTATATTTTATCTTTCGTAGGGTTGTCTTGTGTTTCTGTGACTCCTTGAAAAACAGTCTCTCCTCAAGACAGTTGTCGTCAATACTAACATCTGTGTTCATAATCTAGCAATGCTGTATCAAGCCACTGGTAAAGATTCAAAAAGGAACAACTACAAAATAGCCTTAAATGCCTCCGAACACCTGAAAAGAACGGACAATTGCTTCTACCTCTGTTAAGTCCTGTCTCCCTCAGACCACAGCACAGCCTAGTCACACACTTTGTGGCTTTCAAATTATTCAGCCAGTTCTGAGATATTACCAAGGAAGAAAACAAAAAGGGAATTTCCTTCAGAAGAGAGATGCCAGCCTCTGTAATGTGATCTTATTTATAATGTACATATGTAAAAAAAAGGTAACGAAGGCACTGGGGACTCATAAGTGGTAACAGTAAATGTTACTGACTTCACCTACCTGCTCAGTCCTGCAGTCTGGGATTGTGCCAGCAGAGCTACTTTAGACTCATCCCAACCCCAGGCAGAAGCTAGGGCACACCCATGGCAATACCTTACTTATTTTAGTAGAAACTCCCATACCTTGGGAATTGCGGGACTTGCCCTGCTCATTTGCCTCTCAAGCCAATTCCTGCAGCTGAACATAATTTATGGCACGGACAAGTCTGTATCATCCTGCCTGGTGACCCTGCATGTTCCCCTGGCTTGTGTTGTCTTACTGGGAGGTCAGGTGTACGGCCTGCTGGTACGCATTCAGCACAGAGTGCGGCCCAACTGCTTTTATCTGGCCCACACTACTCCATCTGTCCAGCTAACGGTGGCCCTTGGTGGAGTTAAAAAGAGCACCTACCTCATGGGTCACTGTAGCACACATCCTTCCACTTCCCTGTGAGGTTCTGGAGAGAGGCAGTGTCTGAACAGCCTGCTCCGTTCCGTAGGCACGTATGAAGCAAATTGCCAACTGTTCTATCAGTAGACTGTATTTGACTGAATTCAAGTGAGTGAAGTATATCCGAACTTGACTATGAAGGTCCATAATAGTTCTGTGGATTACACATTAACAATATAGAAGTGAATGTAACACACCTTCGCTTACATACAATGGGCTTGATCTACTCTTACATAGGCACCAAAAGCTGTTTAAAAGTCGATCTGGGCAAAGGTATGGAAGTGTATTAGTAGAGACTCCCCAGGGATACTAGTGTTTTCTCTCACTGACAACAAGGAATATAAGCAGGGAAAGCTTTGGCTTAAAAAATCCTTCTGATGTCGTCATCTCGTGTGACAACAGGCAAGTAAATAATTGTGTAAACTCCTCCTAATAAGCGCCCGTTACCAACCTGAGAGCAGCCCCAGGCCTGAGGCGACCCCTGCGCGACTGC